AGGTGTTTCCGCTGTCAAAAATTAAGGAGGAAATAATTAGAAAAACTATGCTTAATCCAAGCCTATCTGTAATATTAAAAGGGGAGAGATATATATTTCTCTTTACATGTAGGTACAGATATTGAGGTTCAGAGGAGTCTGCATCTTACAAGTCTAGGAAACCATTTGTGCATTTGTTTTGTTTTATGATTCTGAAGTTAGATTATTTTGTCTCAGACGGAGAACAGGAAAAGCTCATTTAAGGTTGAAAACTGAGAGAGAGTTTAAGGTACAATTGAGAGATACAGCAAGTATATAAATTAAAAAGAGCTAGTGAGAGGAGAGAAGGCATCCAAACTCCTATATTGCCAGAGGATGCAGTCAGACAAACCAAGGAAGCAAGCCCTATGAAGGTCAGTCCAGCTTGGAGCTGTGGAGGTAGAGATCTGAACTCAGGGAGGAAAAAGGCAGAGACAGAGGCACACTGTAGACAAAAGAAAGAGGGAGGAAACAAGAAATAGCCTGGGACATGCAAACAACAGGGTGGTACAAAGAGGCTACTCTGTCCATCATATAAGTCATTTGAAATACAAGGCAACCTCTTTATTAAACTTGTCTGGAACTGCATTTTTCTTGCTTCATGTTGGGATAGAGACTATTTGGCAAAGGTGGATGGTGTTGGTCACTTTTTCCAAGCATTACTGTTGAATATTTAACTCTTACCTTGATATAGAGTAACTAACTTTGTTACCAGACAAAGCTTAAAGATAGAAACCAGTGAATCTCTAAGTGATATGACAGGCAAGGGTACGCCTCTTGAGAGCAGCAGGGTTTTTTAACAGGATAAAGTAACATTCCTCTCGACATGCCTTTTTCCTAGCATGAGTTGTGGGATTCAGGGGAAATAGAGCATATTCTTTACAATCAGTTGTAAAGATGAGGCTTGGAACCAGTGCTGTTCCAATCACCTCAGCAAAGATCAGCATCTCATTGCACACAGTCACCCATGCTCAATTAGTCCGCTGAGAACAGCATGTAGAAACGGTTAATGACTTAGAGCTTCACGTGGCAACAATTGATCACAATTTCTGAATACAAAAATATTCACCCTCCAAATCTGGCCTTCCTGAAATATGTTGTTGTCTAGGTAATGGGATATTTTGCAAGTCAGCTGGGCCAAATTGATCAGGTAGTGTGTGTCTGCTTAACTCCACTGGAGTGGTGCCACACAGATACATACTAAATGAAGATGTCACCTAACAATTTTACATTACTTATTCAAACCAGACCTAAGATCTGTTTAGAACTTTTACCAAAGCTGGTACGTATCTGTACTTCCTGACTGCCACTTTGATGCAAAGAAAAGTTTTTTCCTGAAAATATATATCTTTTTAATATAATGTCATTTCAATACAATATTGTTTCTGACAAGTTGATTCATTATTCTGAACTACTGATACGGCATATGCCATACCACCATCATTGTCTGATCACAGAGCTCCTTACATCATTCTTATAGATCATTCTTGTACATTATCATCTCTTTCCAGTTTTGAAGTTCCATCATCCTTGTCAAGATCTGGAAGTGCAGCTCAGGACATGGCAGTGCCCACAAGTCAATAGTGGGTAAGTGCCATTTTAATGTGTCAGACGGCAATATATTTTAATATTTATTCATTTAAGTTCAGTATGTAAAACTCAAAATACACATGAAATACATTGAATCTTCATGTAAACCTCTAAAAAGAAAAGTGTTTATTGTGCTTCTAATGTGGAACCAAATGTTTAAGAAAAGGTTCTTTAAGAGTGATCTTGACACTTCAGTGCTACAAAGCTTTACAATATTGGTTGTTGGTATTGTAAGTCAAGGAGTCTGATGTGAGCAACGACTTAGAACAAGTTTTTTTTCAGACTGGGTGCTTTAAGTATGAAGTTTGTCATTATGCAGCCAGTAAATGACCTGATTTTCAAATGCTGGTTACCCAGGACTATATCTAGTCTGCTTTAGAGGTTCATTCCATTAAAGGTAACCCAGACTGGAAAGCCAGATCTTAGGGTCCCTTAGTGAGGGGACACCGTATAGGATGTCCTCAGGCACAACAGCCATCTCATGAGCTCTGTCAGCATCTTCTCTTAAGGGCTTTTTAACACTTATCCTGCACCCTGTTTTGTCTGTATCATGATCGAATATACCCCCATGAGATAACTGATACTTATACCGTTATCTGAAACTGTCTCAGAACAAAATAAAAGGAATTGAAGAACCTCTGCCAGGGGACAGATCCTCATAACTGATTAACAGCTGTACCAGACCATTTAGTTAGAGTGCTGCTTGAGGGCCCCATGAAGCCAGTCTGTACAGTTCATGAGGTGTCCTGGTGGGACAAAGTGGAGAAGATGCTGTAAGACCTGAGTTATCTTGGTGCTTCTCCCCCGTCATTCCAAACGGGCCGTGGTCATGATGGCTCCAACAATTTTCCAGGAGGTCCTAGAGATGGTTGGGGAATCTAAACCTGACAATGCCCCCTAGCATAGGGAAATAACATACTGCATAGAAACTAGCCATTCCTGAGGAAGTCAAATAGCAAAAGCTAGGTTTTACTATGCACATCTAACAGTTTTTATCGTCTATCCAAATTTAGCAACTGATAAAGAAAAACAGCAGAAAATCTATTATTGATATTGTATAGCAAATACAGTGGTCTAAAGTTATAACTCAGAATGTTAATCCAATTGGATTTTCCCTATAGTTTTATAAAATCACCACAGGAACTTCAGTGATAGCAAATGGTCATAAGGTGAGTTTTATCTCTCATCAGAAAGAGATGAATCAGTCTGCTTTTATATAAAGTTAATGTTTAAATTATTCACTTCCTAACCAGTCATCAACAATATATATTGCTTTGCAGCTATGAGCTAAGTTCACAAATAGGAACTACAAGCCCAAGTGTTTCTGTAAGGTACTCACAGCCAACATTTCGGCGCTACTGATATTCACAGTCCTGTAGCTTGTTAGCCACTTGTTGTCATATGAACCTATAACTTTCAGGGCCCTAAATGTTTGCTGATAAAATCCCATAGGTACTTCCATTTCTGCTACTGGGCACACACTTTATGAGGGGAGAATCAAGCTTGCCCAACATCAGACCAGGGCACTTGTGATAAAATACCTAGCTGAAGACAGCTTTTGTCCCAAACTAGTTTCCTGAACTTCAGACTGTCTTTCAAATCCAAGTAAGCTAGTAGTTCTTAAGGCCATCAGTCCTACAGATGATTTAGATGGTTTCAAAGATGCTCAGAAATAAAGAAAAACAATCTCAAAGAATCTAATGAACACACCTGGAATTTTTTATTAGGATCACTGTGTTTAATTTGAAACCTCTTGAATGAATAATTCCAGACTGGTGTTAGAAATTTTCTTTGCAGTAAGAATAATGTCTCTTAAATTGACACTTATAGGCCTGGATTAGAGCTCAGCTACATTTCTAAATCCAATTTCTTGTTATGTTTAAAGTGTGTATTTGGAATTGTTCACGATTTTGTAATGAAGACTATTTTTTGTGCAGCATACGGAGTGATAATGTAAAAGCAGAAAAAATGAGAAGAGTTAGAAAGTAGTAAGTTCAGAAAAAAAATCCATACTGATTTCTTTTGGCTGACAATGTTATATAAAGATTTCAGAATTAAGAATAGATACAAAGTTTACTCTAAATTTCAGTGCACCCAACTTAACCTCTCAGAATTCTGCAAGCTTTGGGAAACATTTTGGACAGACAACCTATGATGAGAGTATAATTTCAGTCAAAACATATCTTTACTCTTACTTCAAGGTAATTAAGGAATGAGTTCCTTAGAGGTATAAATTTTCACAATAAAATGTTTCACTTATATTCTGTTCCACTGTGAGAGTGAAACTTTGTACTATCATAGTTATAGTACAAAAACTGTAGACCTTTAACAGAAAAGTTAACTTTTGCTAGAAGGTTGTAACATCTCATTGTACATTAATTTACTGGCGTCTTTTAAAAAAAGCAGCTTGGCTTCTATCATATTTATTACTTCTTATGAATGACATCAAGAATGGCTTCTTCTGAATTAAAGAAAAACTTGGAGGTTGGTAATTTGATTATTTGGAGGATAGTTCGGTTTCTTTACTTAAAAGTGACCAGGGTTAAAATCATAAGCAGCCAAGGTATTATTTTACCCTGAGCTATCTTTTACTTTTTCCTAACAGTGATGTAATAAACCCTTTTTAGTTATTAGGTAGTTTGGGTTGAGGGAAAAACTTTGTGTGAACTTTGACTAGATTGCAGAAAAAAGATATCTTAAATCTCCAAAAGATGTAAAAAGAGTCAGATATTGATTGTAATTAGGGTACTTACCTCTGTTCCTACTCCAGATTGTATGACAAGTGACTTAAACATCTATATGTCTGCTTTTCCAGTGGAAGAATAGCCATGGGAGTATTCAATTCTACCTAATTAATGTTTGAAAGTATAATACATGTGGAATTTATTAAAATGACATTTTCTGAATATAGTTCTCTCTTTACTGCAAGGTTGCATTGCTAATTGTCTAAAAGCATTTTGAACAGAGAAGTGATATTACAGATTAGAACTTGGTAGGTTAATCCATTTGTGCTTTTGCAATTTTAAAGCTACAATGAATTTTGGAAAAGTGAATACTCTAGGAAATGAATATTTATCAGGGAGGAAAGAAATCTGTTTCTTACATTACAGGCCAGCAAAACTTTGCATTTTATCCCAAATGTTAAAGTGCATGTCTCTGGCTAATTTATTGAAAGATTCAGTTTGCATTTAGTCATAAAATGTCAGTGAAATAACCTTTTGCCTTTGATCTGCCTTTTGGGTTATAACTTAGAATTTCCCAGTGATAATAACATTGGTAGAGCACGAGGAGGAAACTTAAGCTAAGTTCTCCAGCAAATCAGAATTTAAAATGTCAAAAAAATAAACGTGCTTTGTGTTTAAATTTATAATTATCCTTCTGTTAAGGCTGAAGAGATTATTTTGACAGGAGGCTTGAAATCTCTCCTTCCCCATGTGCTAAGGAGAATAATTCGATGCAACAGACTCAGTATTAGTAATACTTCTGGAATGGCAGAGGGTAAGTAAACCTAACAGCTCTAAGTGCAAAAGTGACTCCATTTTAGATTCATAGCTATGTGTTTTCTTTTTTTGTTTGTGAAGGAATGTAGGAATATCAAAAGTATCGAAGTAAAACGGAAGAAAATGTTAAGTTGACTTATGTTCTTAAGTCACTTGGGTGTTTTTGAAATCACATTGTAAGCACCTCACACTATGTTCTTAAATCATAAAGCTACGATTTGGGGCGGGGGGGTGGGGAGGGAGAGAGAGAGAAAGAGAGAATGTATCATCCTACCTGTGTAAAGTACGTGGACTTTGTTTTCAAAGTTTGCAGTGCATCCCTCAGCTTCCAGTTATGTCAGTGAGAAATTACAGATGCAGAAAATATTTGAAAAATCTTTAACCAAATCTGGCTTTTCTTGCGTACGTTATTATCACATTTGTAGGATAACATGCTAAGTTCTTCACAGAGACCTTGCTTTACTTAGTGCATCGGATACACTTTGGGGAAGAATTAGAGATGTATAGTTACAGAAGTGGTTTTCTGCTTCATTTGTTGCAGAAGTTGGAAATTACTGACTCAGCAAGACTGGGAATTAAAAGGGGGAGGGAAAAAATAGTTTTGTACTCAGATAACTGAATGCATTCTGGAAAACTGATTTCTGTCTTGCCTCTCATTGCTGGACTTTTACAGAAGCAGAGAAGTCTGTGCCATTGTTCTGATCAACTTTAAAATGTAACAACGTAACTAAAAATACCGTGGCAAGTAGCTGATCAACAAAGCTGTGTGTAGTAGCATTACTATAACATAAGAACGTTAAGGGTCATTTTATAGAATCATAGTGAGTCTTGAAATTATGGTTTTCTTTTCCATCAGTACATAAGTTGAAAAATACTAATGGAAAACATGTTATAATGTTAATAATCTGCAGTTTGCCCCAACTGTATTTTTAAGTGCATGTATTGCTGCAGTAGTTTTAAATGTGTTAGTTTTAACATTTGAGAAAAGTATTGTTTACGTACAAAGCAAGTTCAGACTTCTAGCCATGAGCATACAGCTCCGTTACGCAAAGACTAATGAAACTAGGGTAACTGGAATTTCTCAGAATCCTTAAAATTGTCTTACGTTGTTGGGTGATATACTACTAAAATAATTCTTTCTTACTGTCATTGTCATTCGCCAAAGAAATTAAAAACTCTTTCTAAACTTCTCTGAACTGGGACGTGAGTGCGTTGAATTAATGCATGGGTTGATCAGCATGTCCAGCTTCACTAACATTGCTCGTGAATATATTCATAATGATGGATACATAATGCAAGTATATATGTAAACTGATATGGGAAGAGAAAAATATCTTTTCATCTATAAAGAAAGTAAGGCTAGTTATCAGGAGGAGCAATAAAGTTGTCAAAGAGTTACAACGAAGCTTCCTGAGTTTGTAGAGTACCTCAGTGACCTACAGATTCAGTCTGTCAGCTGTGACTAGTATTTTAAATTCAGTGTTGTCTGAGTCGAATGCACTGACTAAAACCATAATTTTAAGAATGTGTGAATATCACCAGCAAAGTAGAAAGTGCCTGTGGATTTCACATGGATGGCAGGGAATGAAGTTGAGGGATATCTGAATGTAGTATTTTATTCAGTGGTAAATTTAGTATGTTTATTTAACAAAAATGTATTTCTGTATTTAGCAAGAAACTGTTTCCGTATTTAGTAACTTTTGCTAGCAATAAAATGAATTTTTGTGCTGAGTACTCCCAAGAGAGCAGTTTGTGGGCACAATTCAGTGTGCAAATACATGCTTACCTCAGCCTTTGCTTTGCATTTTTCCATTAGGAATAGAATTTTATCTTTTGGTTTCTTTGTTAGCTTTGGTCAAGAGTAAGATTTGGCTGATTTTCTACAGCCTTTTAAGGCAGATCATTGATTTCAGCTAAATGATTGCCTCTTGGATGACAGACTACCACAGTATTTAGGAAAGTGAGAGCTGCTATGCAGCCTCTTACTCACCTGTTTGATATCAGACATGGTAATAACTTTTCAAGACAGCATCAATACAGGAGTTAGGGACTGTTACTTAGCAGTTTTATACACCAGACTAGTTGTCTGGTGTATTTCCTCTCTGTATTTGAACAGCTGGTATTTACATGCACAAAAATTAAAATGACATTGGTATTAACTACTACTGTTTAGAAAATAAATTTTTGCTAAATAAATGAATGTGAGCTTTCTTCATTGATACTCATTGCAAAAATGTTAGTGTCTTTAGAAGCTGTTGCATGGTAGTAGTCAACAACCTTTTAAATCAAAGTTGATTCCAAGTGAAGAAAGTGTAGCAGTTCATTTTAGTTTTTTAAATTAGAAATAGTAGAAATGACTGAGATTCAGTGTGACAAACAAGAGTTTATTCCTGAGCTGTAATTATGTCTGTTAAATTGCAGCCCACAGTAAAATTCCATAGCCAACAAGAATGGGCTACATAACATCAAGATACCAGGAGTTACTGTTGGACTGGCCATGATTTATAGCTTGCTATTAAATGAAAAAAAAAATGGTGAAAGTGTGGTATGCAATAGCCTTTCTTTGGCTTTGTGCTAACATTTGCAAAGTGAAGTATTTTCCTATAGAATATTAATTTCCCAGGTTAGGTAATAAATTGTTTATATATAAATTCATAGAAATGTTTATTAAGGTAATTATGCTGTCTTCGTATTCTAGTACTACCCATATCTGCCAACTATTTTAGCTGTGAACAACTTCACATACAGAGTACATCTAGCTATGATTTTAAAAACATTTCAAAAAGTTGTTTAATTTAATTACGGACTTCTGAATCAAAAATTTCCTTGAGGTAATTTTTTATAGACCATCTAAGGAAATCTATACAGAAAAGTTACTGCTTCACAAACAAAAAGCTGAATTAATAACCAGTCATTCCTACCTTCCACAATTTCAGGCTATAAACAGGCCAATGTCGTGATTTTGCACGAGTCCCTGGCTGATGACTTTGAGAAGTTTTGCCATGCAAATAACGGCCCACTGCCACTGCTGTACAGAAGTAAACCAGGTGATTGGAAATGTCCTTCTCTGAGTAGTGATTCTGATATCAGGTAACTATGGACCAACTCTGCTTCTCAAAATTCTGCAGTGAATGCTGGTGGTGATCAGGAGGGTTTCAGGGAACAGCCCGCCCACACTGTTGTACATTTTGAACAAGTTTCTTTTCTTGGAGTTATACCTTTGAATGAAAACTATGCATGAGTGTAACAGCCTGATCGTCTTGTTCTTGAGAAACATGTTATGATAATTGTCAGTATTACAAGTATTTCTCTAACGCAAAAGTGAAATTTTGTGTAATTTCTAAATACTTTGCAGTCTGAGCCAGCAGAGTTAAATAATAGGGTTTCACCTTTGTTTTACTTAGTAGTAACGCAGGCATGGTGACCGCATGATATTTGTGGGGTCTCTGAAATTTGAAAGATGTACTCTTGTAGTAAACACTAAAAGCAAGACTTAAAAGAGCTCCCAATTTTTTGAAGCCCTGTGACAAGACACGTATAAGGGAAATTTACCTATAAAACCTAAAAAATACCAAAGTCTAACATCTGTTTACCAGCTTGTTTTTGTGCAGAATAAGGTGTTCTGGTGTTTTTGCATGTGTTTGTTTCATTGTTACTCAGAAAGAAAAGAAATAGATAAAGTAGGCTGTATCTTGTGGTTTGATATTGGGTTAATGTAAATTCAAACAATTCACCTTGTTTTCAAAAAAATATGATAAAGTTGTGATAACTTTGTATTTCACTAGAACGGACTGCCTACAGTACAAAATATACGAGCATGGAGCTTGTACTGGATCACTGAAAAGCCTAAAGGAGTATTCTGAACAACTTAAGGACATGGTGACTTTTTATTTAGGCTGCAGCTTCTCTTTTGAAAAAGCAGTCCAAAATGCTGGCATTCCCGTAAGAAATGTTGAGCAAAAATGTAATGTAAGCATGTATAAGGTAAGTATGTGCACACACACATAGTCTTTGTCGTAACTTTGCCTTTGAGTATTTGTCCGTATTCACATTATGTGCATATAACTATTGCTCAAAATCAGATCTTTTTTCCCTACCTGCATCATAACTTGGCATGTGCTAGTGCTAAGTGCATAAAAATACAGGGTAAAATATGCCCAGCCTCAGTTCAGTGCTTTTCTCAACTTTCTGCAAGGCCAATCTGCTTTTTTATTCGTTTATGGTGACAAAGTTTTTCCCTGTGTGCTGTGGCAGCCATTTCATTTGGATTCTGTTCTGGTTTGCCTTCTGTGTTTCAACCGATGACCCATGCGCTATTCTGACCATGCCTTTATTCATGCCCTGCTCTCCATACCGGCTCTGGCTTGCAGTAGGAATATTCCTTTTATGAGCCATGACACTAGCAGTTTCTTCTGCATGTATGACAGCCACATTTTGGATTTTTCCTGTGACAGTAGAGACTTTAAACTGCATATTTGCTACGAACCCAGACCTCTGGGACAGAAGATGTTCCCAAAAACTTGAGGCATCTACCATAGCACTGAAATTTATAACTGTGCTCAGAAAGTTTATAGTGCAGATTTTAATGTTGGCAGAAGTCCTAGAATAATTCTGGCTCCAGTAGGTAGACCCTTCAATATTAAGAACACTTAAGTACACATCTGCATGTCTTTTTCCTATAGTTCCTATAACCTTTGTCTAGTAGAACAGCATTGTTGTTTTCAGTGTTATCATTTCACAATCTTTTTGCTATACTCCTGGCCAAAATGAAAGCACAAACGTATCTCATACGCAAGTCCTTCTACCAAGCTTAAAGAAAAAAAATACAACTATGTATCTGCTTATAACGTTTCAGAATTAGGAAAACTTCATAGTTTATAGCACATCAATACTGTGAAGAACTGTACAGCATGTTTCTTCAGTGACAGGTATAATGATTTTTATTACAAAGATTGTTAATGAACATTTTCTATACAGCTCTATCTGTCTACATATCTTGTTTACGTTCAAATGCAACTTAGATATCAGACATTTTGTTCTAAGAAGCCAGACTGCTTTATTTCTGAATAGAAAAGGTGCTTCAGCATCCCAGTCAGTGAGGATGATGAATTCCATAGAACCTTTCTAGAGGCACAAAAGATTTGTATGTGTGGAATCGGCACGTTGCTTCTGTAGAAGCGGGTACTGCCAGCAGCAGGAGTTCCTGACCTTCGCGTGTTACAGAACACTGTAGCTCCCCTGAATTCAAATACAGAAGATTGATTCAGACCAAGTAGGTTTGTTGCTGTGTGATACTTTTTATTAGCTTTTTCCCTTTCTGTATGGGAAGCACACGGTTGTTTTCTGACAATAGTCAGTATATACTGAGCTCACCACACTGTACGCTGCATCTACCGAAGCAAGAAATGCATAATGTTGAAAGTCATAGTGATCAATATGAAGAAGCTCAAGGATGGAATGTTTCACTCCTGCACTGCTGGATCTTACAAAAAAAAAAAAAGGCATGCTAAGAATTTTTTTTTTTTTAAAGGATTTAAAATGAATGTTAGTACGCGGCCTTTCTAAGCTCAAGTACAGCACAAAGTTTTAGACTTACTTCTTCTAATACTTTAGAAGTATTATTCAGTATTCCTGCTAATGCCTTGGATTCTTTTGAACTGCCAGACAGCTGTGCCTTGCTACAGTGTTTCTACTTTTCACTGCAACTTAGTAGTCACAATGAGACCTATTCCTGAGAGCAAGTTGGAAGCAGCTGTGCTGGCAACCTCTGAATCAAAAGAAGCCCACGGAGCACCAATTCACGTGGGTGACCCTGGTCAGTGCTTTTCGTGTTTCACTCTGCATGCGCTTCGCTGTGTATAAAAATGGAGGGGGGAACCACGGGAAGCGGTAGGACTGAAACACCTGCACCAGAAAATTTATTATGTTTTAATCCTTTCTAATGGTCACAAATCTGAATTGGGGGGGGAGGAGAAAGAAAAAAGTAGGTTTTGACTGAGCTGAACACAGAGATTTCTTGAATAAAAGATAGCTGTCTGATGTAGATAAGTTATATGGCAGGGGTGGTTTTGGTAAAAAGTGTAATCACATTTTTCTAAAATGTATGCAGTTTCGTTTATATGCAAATACTTTCTTGCTGTCAGAGATTCCAGTGACAGGGTAGCAATGATTGACAGCATGGGGAGAAGTATGTGTGGATGCATTTTATGTCTTAGCGGATGACTGTGAAAGTAAATACTGCATTATTTTTAAAAATAGTGAAATAGGATACGTTGAGCACAACACTTAAGACAGAATAACTAGAAATATGACAAGAATATATTTTTTTTAAAAAAACAGCTCAAACAAGTATAGGTCTATTCTTTGCAAGGGAAAGCTGAAAAAAATGATAAAACAGGAGGCTGTTTGAAAAAAACAAAACCAAACACCTGTAAGATGAGGATAGATCACAATAAAAAAAAAAATCCCCTCTGCTGACAGAAATTTGTCAATCAGTAGACTCATGGGCTGCACACGCAGAAGGATCACATCGCAGAGCATGGAAGGAGATGTCGTTGGTAACAGTACACCCCAGTAATATATTTGGTCTGAGTGCTTAAATCTGAGGAACTAGTAATAAGTCATTACTTTGAGTAGAGCAACAAGATGATTGGGCAAGTGAGGGTCTCCACCGTTTATTTATTTTTAACAGAAAAGAGTAAGTGATTATATATACAGATTATATAAATTAATTCCAGAAAAGACAGTGGTATATTAAAGCGTCTGAAGAATTGAAAACCAAGGGAAGAGAGCAAGTGCTTAGAATGACCCAGAATATTACAAGTAGGTGTTAGAATAAAGCAAAAGACAATTTAGTGAAAACTGGTTAAGAGTGAGCTGTAGTTATCTAACCCAGAGAGGTAAAAGAGTGGTTGCTCATTTCTCTAGCTAAAGAACGTAGGAAGCTAAAGCAGTAGAAAACATGTTCTAGAAAGAACCCGTTTTGCATTGCAGTCATTTATTCTTGTTTGCCAGTGTTATGAATATAATTCTTCTGTTGATAGAGAGGATTTATAATATCTTGGAAACTCAACATACACATCTAGCTTGTATTTTGTTGCAGAAATAAAGTGAATACATTTTTACTGATGTCATCAAGTACAAAAAGGGAAAACAAGTCAGCGCAGGTTCTGGGGACGTGCACTCAAAGGCAAACTAAATGTGCCACTTCAGTGGGACTTGCCACTGTTGTGATTCTAGCTTAGTGTCATTGAATGATGTCTGGGGTCCGCCCCCCCTCCCTGGCTTTGCAGTAGTATTGCTTAATTGGAATCTCTCATGATTTCATTTTTGATCAATTCCAGGTCTGCTGGGAATACAAGATCTTTCCAAACCAGATTATGGAGATCCAGTTCACCTTCATCCTGGTGATATTCCAGTGTTTTGGGCCTGTGGAGTAACAGGAGTAGAAGCAGTCATCAACTGCAGTATGTACTATACTTGGAGACTCTTTTTAAATTATCCTTCAATCTCTTTTTCTCTTTTTTTTCTTTTTTTTTTTTTCTTTT